GTCCCCCCCCTCCCCGCTGCCGTCCGTGCCGAGTCCCAGGGGGATCTGAAACCACAGGGCTGATGTTTGCATCTGCGCCTGGGGAATGGGGCTGTCACAGGGACAGCAGAATAACCACCCCGCAGAGAGGGGAACGGGGCTGAGGGTTTAATTTGAAACATCTCCATAGGAGGGATAGGCAGGAGCAGGGAGAGGCTTAAGGGCAGAAGGGGAAAACCAAGACTTGGTGGAGCTGAATTTCGCTGGACTGTGCCTAGGGAGCCCTGGTTGGAAATAATAACCCCCAGCCCTTACCATGAAAGCAACAACGGACACCTCGTAGATGATGGACTGGGCAGAGAGCTCTACGACGCCCAGCAGGCCTGGGGGAGAGGAGAAGGTCAGCGCTGGCTGTGGGTGCCCAAAGGAGAGCTGCTCTCAGCCACTGTGACTGCCATGGCTGCCACTCTGGGTCACACTCAGTTCCACCTCTTCGCAGCCCTCCCCTCTCCACTGACCTATCAAGAAGCTCCCGATTTCGTAGGTCCACCATTCGATGCACATCATGAGCATGCTGGGGACAGCCAGGGAGGTGAAGCTGTCCCACTCCAGCAGGCACTCGCTGGACCAGCCTGAAGAGAGGAGAAATGTCACTGATGGAGGACCAGACTGGCCATGTGTTACATCCTTGAGAGCACCTGAGGTAGCTGGAGGTGATTTTCCTGTTTGCAGAGCCAGCAGGACAACGCTCCTCAGCTCCATAGGACCTCCTGCAATACAGCAGAGCACGTACAAGCTCTGCTGATGCTGTCCTGTGGGCCAAAGCGATGCAACCCTCGGCTCATCCGTCCCAGAGCAGAGCATCTAAGGACAACCTCATGCTTACGTCTGTGCTCATCCAGTTTTGCGTCTGAACCCTAAGAAGCCTCATCAGAAAGTTTCATTTCTCCAGAATTAATGTTTACTGCCCGGCACGGTGCTCTGCCAACACTTGCGCATGATGTGCTGCCACCGAAGCAGCACCGTGTTCCCGGGTTAATATTTCACCCTTAGGACTAACAGAATTCTGTTGAAGGAAGTGGGGGAAGACTCATGAACACTCCCATGAAGTGGGAACCAGAGGGAGCTGGGGAACTGCTCTTACCTCCCCAGGTCTTCACGTGGAGTTTCTTGCCTATAATATACAGGAACAAGAAAATGGTTTGTGCGTACTGAGCAGCGGTGTTGGCCCAGGCAGAGCCCCTGCAAAGGAAATGAGAAAGGTTGTCAGCATCCTGCTCACACCTCCCCAGCCTCGGGGTGCCAGAGCATTGAGTTTTCCCTTCCATGGGATGTGGATGCTACTCACATGATGCCCAAGTGGAGCACGTAGAGGAAGATGCAGTTTGCGATCACGTTGACGATGTTTCCGACGATCCCACTCAGCACCAGCGGCCACATGATCATCTGGAAAGAGGAGGAGATGGGGGTACAGCGCCTTCACAAAAGCTTCAGGAGGGAGTGGTGTGAAGGTCCCCACCAGCCCCGTGCTCAGCAGCTTGCCCAGCCAAAAAATAAACTTCTGATGCTGTTGCCTGCTTGGAAAATGAGCGTGTTGGAGGTAAATCCCTGACACAGGGAAGTGTGAAGAGAGGTCCATCAGGAAGATGGATATAACTGGCCATGGGATGGGGTGATCTCCACCGTCAGAGCTGCTCCAGGGCACCCACACGATGGTGGGGACAAATGCTGCAAGGCCACCGGGAACAGCAAGCATGAAAAATGCCAAGTGTGTGGTCAAGGACTGGGGACAACCCTTCAGGGGTGTGAGGGCCATGGAACCCACCTGGTTCTGCAGGTATCTTGTCTCCAGGTTATACAGAAAAACTGCCTAAAAAAGAAATTGATGGATGAGATGAGGCCAATGCTGAGCAGGAGCTGTGCTGCTGCGCTGGAAAATAGGAGCAGGATGGCCAGTTCCTGTGCATGGCCAACATCCAGGGTGCCCACAGGGACTCACCGGGAGAGCAGGGACAAATGCCATCACATAGCGCTGGGTTAACCTGGGGGGGCACAAGAGGAACTGTCAGCAAGAGGTCATGGCCACCACTCCCCCTCCCTTGCAGCCCCACCATGCCCAGGGACAAGCCAGTGGTGTCTGGGCCATGGGGCCACCAGACCTGGAGACCTCAGGGTCCTGGCGCATGAGGAGCAGGAGCTGCTCGATGTTGATGAGGATGGCGCAGCAGGGGAAACAGCAGAGCAGGAGGATGATGGTGGCACGCTGCAGGATCACCCCCACACGCAGCAGGTTCTTGCTGCCATAGGTCTGCAAGGCGAGAGGATGGTCAGTTCTGCTGCGCTGGCAGCACGCTGGTGCTGGGGGGACGGGGGGACCCTGCAGAGCAGCCCTGACCACCCTGGAGACCACGTGGGAAGGATTTGGTATTTCAAGGGGAGCACGGAGCTCCCTGTTATGGGGGACAAGCTTCCCCAAGTTGTAGATGCAGCCAGGGCTCTGTGCAGCAGCCGATGCTGGAAAACCCCATGTCACCAGGACAAGTGGCAGCATCTCTCACCCACCTGCGATATCAAGGTGTCACATGCTGAAGACAAACCGTATCCTACAGAGATGGCCATAACGTTTATAACCTGGAAAAAGAGGAGTTAAAAAAACAAAGAGAGAACATTGAGCATTTCAGACTTCTAGGTAGGGAGAGGAGCTAAAAGGAAAAGTGAGAATTTGATATCTCCTCTGTCCTTATCTGCTTCCACTCCCATATCCCATCCCAGCTGGTGCCCGGCGCTGGAGCAGCCCCCAGGAATGCTTACAGCGATGGCCAGCGTGACGGAGGCCAGCTCGACCTTGCCCAGGTGGCCGCAGAATATGGAGCTGACAAGGTGTATCAGGAAGATCAGCAGCTGGATCAGGATCTAAGTGTGAGGAAGAGGAGAAGCGAAGGTCAGAGACGAGGGTGCTGGGTGGAGACCCCCAGACCAGAGCACGGCACAGGCTGGGAGTGCAGCTGGATGCATTCAGCTGAGTGCTTGTAGCTCCTCAGCAACCCAATCCCTGGCACATCAGGTGAAGCTGATCTGAGGTTTTTAAGCCCCTTGCTGGGTGTTTAGCAGCATTCCCTGTCTGTCTTCTCCACAAGCTGTTGGAGGTCTCACCTCGGCTGGGCTCTACTGGCCAGCAGACTTGTTCCTTAAGGTGCTCATGGCATCAGCTGTGGTTGCAGCCACCCCGACATGCCAGCGTTCCCCTCCCAGGGTCCTTACCAGTGGCCCTGCCAGCAGCAGCAACTTCTTTGCGTCCTCCCAGAAGTGAACCGGGACCAGGCGCACGCTAAAGCCAGCGGCGTTTCTTCCCGCAGCTGCCGGGTGTGAGATCCCGCTGGCCAGTGGCCATCGCCTCGCTGAAGCCATTCTCCTCGGGGAGGTTCTTCATGCTGCCGCTCTGCCAGGGGAGTGAAACAACCCTCTTCCTCTGTGCTCTGTTAAAACCACCCAGCTGAGGTGAGCAATGTGTAACCACGATGGGGTGAACTTCAGCCAGGGCCGGGCGAGCTGACCGCGCTCTCCTTGCTGCCGGCAGCCGGGGCGGCGATGGGAAGCGCAGGCAGGGGGTCAGGGCAGGGCAGGGCA